ATGGAGCTACATACCCAACCCTTTTTATTTATATTTTTTAAGATTTTTTTAAACCTTTATTTATTTTTATGTGGTACTGAGGATCAAACCCAATGCCTCTACATGCTAGGCAAGCACTCTACCACTGAACCACAACCCTAGCCCCTTTATTTTATTTTGACACAAGGTCTGCTAAATTACCCAGACTGGCCTCTAACTTTTGATCCTCCTGCCTCACCTCCTGACCCATTGGGATTACAGGCATGCCTGATTCAAGTTAATTCTTTTTTTTTTTTTTTTTAAGGTGTAGTTGGACACAATGCCTTTATTTTGTTTATTTATTTTTATGTAGTGCTGAGATCGAACCCAGGGCCTCGCATGTACTAGACAAGTGCTCTCCCGCTGAGCTACAACTCCAGCCCCTCAAGTTAATTCTTAATGCACTTTCAACATGCTCCCATCATTTTTTTTTAACTTCCTTACATTCTGGCACCATTAGCTCTCCAGGTTCATCTTCCCTACCCCAGCCATGGCATCAGCTATTTCTCCAAAAGACCCTAATTCCTTATTAAGTATTATGTGTGGTCATTGCTACTGTGTTATCTTCTTTATGAATGAGATTAGGAAATACATGAAGGTATATACACATTTATGTCTATATCCATAAATGTATATACTTTATAAACCTGAGTTCATACTGATAGACATCACCTACTCCAATCTTAACACCACAGCATTCCCTCCACATCCTGATTAATTTTAATTAATTTTTTATAGTACAGGGAAAGTTGCCTTGGTTCTAAAAAGTCAAGAACTTTTTTTTTTTTTTTGGATGCTTGCTATTGAGCCCAGGACCTTACATATGTTCTACCACTGAGCAATACCTTCAGCACTTCAAGAACTATTCACAAAGATGTCCTAACCAAGGGATCATTGCCCTCTCATCCCATTTTTCCCCTTTTGGTTTCCCTGTTTTTCCCACTCTGTTTTCATTTACCTTTTGTGGATAATCTATCTCAATTTCAGGCTTATCCTTCCTTTATTTTTTCTTTTTGCTTGTTTTTTCCCTAACAGCTTCATTGAGACATTATTCACCTACCATATAATTTACCCAGTTAAGTATACCAATCATTGTCTTTATAGTATATCCACAGGACTTCATAACCATTATCACAATTAATTTTAGAACATTTTCATCATCTCAAAAAGAAACTGTCTAGTTTCCCCCAACCCATCCCAGCTATAGGCAACCACTAATCATCTCTATGCATTTGCCTATTCTGGAAGTTTTGTGTAGGTAGAATATTACAATATGTGGTCTTCTTTGTTGGACTTCTTTTCTTTATTCTGTTGTTTCCAAGGTTTATCCATGTTATAGCATGTATCATAATTTCATTTCTTTTATTGCCATATAATTTCCCATTGCATGGCTTATTTGTTTCTTAGGGCTCCTGTAACAGATTAGCACAAACTAACTGACTTAAAACAATAGAAATTTTATTCTTTATCAGTGCTAGAGGCTAGAAATGAGAAATAAAAGATCAGCAGAGCCACACTCCCTCTGAAGACTCTAGGAAATCCTTTCTTGTCTGTTTCTTGCTTCTGGTGGCTCCTAGCTATCAGTCCTTGGTTGTAGTTGTATCACTGCAATCTCTGCATCTGTATTGCTCTCATCTCTGACTTCTGTCTTCCTGTAGCTGCCTTCCCTATGCATTCCTGTCTGTCCTCTCCTTTTATTATAAGAACGCCAGTAACAATACAGAGCCTGCTCTAATCTAGTAGAACCTCATCTTAACCAGTTATATTTGTGAAGACCTCATTTCCAAATGACATCACATTCTGAGTTTCTGTGTAAATGTGAATTTTGAGGGTATACCATTCAACCCACTATACATTGATATGACATTTATTTACCTGTCATAGAAGTTATTTTTAGAAGTGATTTTATATTATTATTATTATTAATATCAGGCATTGAACCCAAGTGTGCTTAACTATTGAGCCACATTCCCAAGAGCTTTTTATTTTATTCTGAGACGTGGTCTCACTAAGTTGCTGAGGCTAGCCTCAAACTTGTGATCATCCTGCCTCAGCCTTCCAGATTGTTCAGGTGCATTCATATGCCATCATGCCTGGCTAGTCATAGAAGTATTTTTAACATGGAAAAATGAACATAATATATTAGTGCTTTTTTTTCTGTGAGTTTTTAAATAAATATTTTTTTAAACCTTCATTTCATTCATTCATTCATTCATTCATTCATTATGTGGTGCTGAGCATCGAACCCAGTGCTTGACACATGCTAGGCAAACACTCTACCACTGAGCTACAACCCCAGCTAAATAAATCTGTTTTTTATGGTATCATATTTTTTACACAGTACGAGATTCTGCACACTAAGCTTGTTCCCCATCTATTCAGTCCCTTTCTCAGAGTCAACCAATGCTTCCACTGATGTCAGCTTTCTATGCTGTTCCATACTTTGCTTTATTGCTTAATATATTCCAGAAATTATATTTTTATGGCTACAAAATAGCCGATTTTATTCATGCACCATAGTTGCTATTTATTAATTCTCTTCTGATATACATTTTAGCATAACTAGTTTTCTGCTCTAACAAATATGGTATCATTATTTCAGTGACCAAAGTAACTGGAAACAACCCAAATGTCTATAAACAGACAAATAAATGACATATTTATTAGGCAGAGTACATAATGAAAAGAAAATAAATGAATCACCCCTACACTTGGCAATATAAATGAATGTAAAAAACAAAATATTGAGCAAAGTCTGATCCAAAGAGTATAAACTAACCTAAATAGGGTAGGAATTGCGTTATAAGTCAGTCCTTCCTTAGGAAGCAGTTTTAACTCTAGACAAAATATTCAAATCAAACTACCTGGAGACAATAGAAAACAATGAAAAGCAGGCAGAAACTGAAGAGGAATCTAAAATTGGAGGAAGATAATGGAATCAAGTTTTCCTATGTTTATGGCTTCTTTCTCTAGGACAGGTTCAAGTCAGCATTACGCAGCATGCATAAAACTTGATCAAAAATGTACAGTCTTACTGGCATGAAGAGCCAGGGGAAGAGTTTGGGAGTTGGGCTCAGTGAGCCACCTGTATAATTTCAGCAACTCAGGAGACTGAAGCAGAAGGATCATAAGATTAACACGAGATAGAGGCCAACCTCAGCAATTAAGCAAGACCCTGTCTCAAACTAAAAAATTAAAAGGGCTGGGGATGTGGCTCAGTGGTTCAGTGCCCCTGGGTTCAATCTCTGCTACCACAAAAAAAAGACCTTCTCTAAATCTCTGGACAACCCCTGAATTACACATGTGCACAATAATTTTCAAGCATCCCTTCTAAAGCTAAAAGAACTGAATGGAAATTTTTGTCCATTGGTAGGGTGCAGAATTTCAAATTTAAGTGTAGCTAAGTTTACCTGACTATTTAAAAAAAAACAGTAATCCTCTTCATAAAAATACAATTAATTGGTCTCTACAACAATTTTTTCTTAAACAACCCGAAAATAAATATTTTAGGCTCACAGACCTTCTGGTTTCTATTGTAAATACTCAGCTATGCACTGGTAGTGCAAAAGAATACATAGACAGTACATAAACAAGTTAGCATGATTGCATTCCATGAAAACCTTATTTACAGTTTCTGGATGTAGTTTGTCATCTGCCTGCCCTACAACATCTTAGTCATAGTATTCAGGATACAACCTAAATTATGATTTTCAGAAAATGCAAATACTTCTGTGTGTCTAGTGTAGTGTTCTCTAAAGGTAAATTAAAAGGTAATAAAGCAAGAAAGATAACTGACAGCTAGATTTGAAGTAATATTTGAGTCTTGGCTAAAGAGTTGGGCCTCAATTAAAAGGATGTAAGAAAGTATTTAAGAGTTTGGAGGACAGAAATAATATGTTCAAAACAGTAGGTCAGGAGATATAATTCTGTGGTAATGTAAATTAGACTGGAGGAAGGAGAGGATATAATCAGGCAAACTAACTTGAACAACAATGTGAATATGCACCAATAGGAATTGAAATTAGAAATGGTGGCAAGTTGAGCTGGCAGTGTAGCCCAGTGGTAGAGTGCTGGCCTTGCATGCAGAAGGACCTGGGTTCAATCCCCAGTCCCACTAAATAAATAAATAGAATGGTAGCAAACTAATGGAAACAAGCCAAGCGTGGTGGCACACACCTGTAATCACAGCTGAGGCAAGAGTATCACAAGTTTGAGGCCAGTCTCAGCACAACTTAGGCCCCAAGCCAAGACCCTGTCTCAAAAATTTTTTAAATGGGCTGGGGATGTGGCTCAGTGGTTGAGCACCCCTGTGTTCAATCTCTAGTTTAAAAAAAAAAAAAACTAATGAAAATTAGGTAATATAATTTGTTCCTTTCTTCTTATGAGGTTGAGAGCCTACTATGTTCCAGGAACTGGGTAAGGTTCTGGAACTCATAATATGTAAAATATAGAGAGGTGTAAAGAAACAATCCCATTTGTTGTAATAAGAACTAAAATAACCAAATGCCAAATGTTTTCTCTTGTATAAGGAGGCTGATTCATAGTGGGGTAGGAAAGGGGAGCACTGAAGAAATAGACGAACTCTAGATAGGGCAGAGGGGTGGGAGGGGAAGAGAGGGGGTATGAGATTAGTAACAATGGTAGAATGTGATAAACATTATTATCCAAAGTACATATATAAAGACACAAATTGGTATGAATATACTTTGTATACAACCAGAGATATGAAAAATTGTGCTCTATATGTGTAATAAAAATTGTAATACATTCCGCTGTCATGTATAAATTAAAAATTAATAATAAAAAAATCCAAAAAAACCACAACTATAATAGATAAATGTTAAAGGTGTTAAGGATCCCAAAAAGGAGAACAACTAACAGTCCGGAAGAGTCAAAGAAGTGCTTTGTACAACATCTTAAATTAGAAAGTTTGCCAAACAAAGGCAGAGAACAAAATTTCTATTTTTTATTTTATTTTTTTGTGTGCTGGGGATCAAACCCAGGGCCTTGTGCATTCAAGGCAAATGCTCTACCAACTGAGCTACATCCCCAGCTTGGCAGAGAACAACATTTTAAGACAAAGAAACAGCATGTACAGAGGCACAGTCTTAAGAATGAGTGGAGTGTTCTGCACTGGAAGATGTTTCAATATGTGCAAGCTGAGCATAGGTACCAGAATCTAGGATCAAGAATCATATCACTAAAGGCAAGACATCATGAAAGGATTTCAAAGGATTTAGTGACTATATAAAAAGATAAATGATAACTCAGTGTCAGGTAATATATAATTTATAGACATTCACCATCTGAATCAATATGCAATACCTAGGAGGGGGCTGGGGATGTGGCTTAAGCAGTAACGCGCTCACCTGGCATGCATGGGGCGCTGGGTTCGATCCCCAGCACCACATAAAAATAAATAAAGATGTTGTGTCCACCGAAAACTGAAAAATAAAATATTTAAAAATTTCTCTTTCTCTCTCTCTCTCTCTCTCTGTTTCTCTCTCTTTAAAAAAAAATACCTAGGAGGTCTTTTTTCATGTGTGTGAGAAGAATAACACTAGATGTGTTTCATCAGTAGAATTCTGAATATCATCAAAGGTGTTTTGTGGGGAGGTTGTTGTTATGAGGGTGGTGCTGGGAATTGAACCCATGGCTTTGCACATGTGAGGCAAGCGCTTTAACACTGAGCTACATCCCTAGCCCTATCATAGGTTCTTAAACCAAATCAACACCCTAGAATTGATTATTAACTATTGGTATTGGTTTTTTTCCCCAAAAAAAATAGTTGTTGAAAAATATCACTAAATGAATGTTTGTCTTAACTCATAAGGAAAGAAAAATCTTTTTTTTTTTTTGAGATTAAGAAATGTGGGTTTTTTGTTTGTTTGTTTGTTTGTTTGTTTGTTTTTTAAGAGAGAGAGAAAGGAGAGAGAATATTTCTTAGTTTTCAGCGGACACAGCATCTTTGTTTGTATGTGGTGCTGAGGATCGAACCTGGGCCGCTACCGTTTGAGCCACATCCCCAGCCCGGAAAGAAAAATCTTTAAATATGTATAGCATAACTGAAGAATAAACAGAATTGCTGTGAATTTTCCAAAGGATCAATTCTGAATAATCAAATTTTTAATTCCTTTTTCAATTGTTTTAAAATATTGCTGTTTGGCCACTAATCATTGACTAATACTTAACATCTGTAGTTATACCTTAGGATATGACCAGGTTGTCAGTCTACACAGAGACTGGTACTTAGTAAAATGTTTGAAGCCCAAAAATTTTCCTAGAAAGTAACCTCAGTATCAAATTACGTATGCAGGTGTGGAGATAAAAATCCACTGGTTACAGGCAGTGTTACCTGAATCATTAGTGGATTAGAGATCCAAATCAAAATTTGATGCTATAAGTAGTGGGGACAGGGGAGGAGAAAAGATACAGGAACTTACCAAGAAACCCTTGAAAACTTACAGAAGTGATGAATATGTTCATTACTTTAATTGTAGTGGTAGCTTTATGGGCGTATACATATTCAAATTGTACACTTTAAATATGTGCAGTTTATTTTATGCCAATCATGCCTTGATAAAGATGTTAATAAATTAATTTCATCTTAGAATGGTCAAATATAATATTTTATTTCCTGCACCATTATCTGTATAAAAAAGAGCCAGGCACAGTGGTCTACATCTGTAATCCAGCTATTCAGGAGACTGAGGTGGAAGGATCTCAGGTGCCTAGGCGTTCAAGGCCAGCCTGGAAACATAACAAGACAAACTGTCTTGTAAAGAGAAAAAAATAAGTTGGCCATTTTTAAATATATGTACACAATTTGAAATAATCTAGGCTACCTGAAATTATAGTGAATTAAGTGGCCTGATTTTAACTACAACCTTAAAGAGTAATATACCTTAGTAAAATATACAGATTTGCAAATTTATGAATTTGTGCTATTCTGGATGACTATTTTTCTTGAGTTGCAATCTGTGGGCTGGATATTAAATTTGGTTTTAAGCAAATTTCATGATATATCAATATATTATTTTGATTTTTTTCTTCTTGCAAGAGATGGAGAAAAATCAATGTCTCAGATGCCCCATATCAAAATAGATATATTTAATAAATTTTAATCATTAAACATATTTGCTTTTATTAATGAATTTTTATTCTTGAATCTATTAATGGCTTCTAACAGTGTCATCTGGCTATGTTTTAGACCAGTGTGAACTCTAGTTATTGAAGATTGTTTGAAGTTAAAGATAGATATGTTAGAAGATGAAGAGATTTTTATAAGAAGGTTCAAATTGGAATATGTGAATATTAGTTGTTGTTGTTGTTGTTTTTTATAGTACTGGGGATCAAAACCAGGGCCTTACACATGCCAGCTAACATTCTGCCACTGAGCCATATCCCCTTTAATCTCTTAAAGGAATTGCCATTGATGCTTGGCATGTGTTCAATGAGATTCTCCTATAATGTTGTTAGAGTATAAATTGCTAAAACTATTCATACACTTTTATATAGTAATTTGAGGTCTTAGAAGTTAATCTAAGTATCTACTCAAAAATATGGGATATCTGGGCGTGGTGGTGCATAATTGTAATCCTGGCTACTTGGGAGGCTAAGGTAAGAGGATTTCTTGAGCCCGTGAGTTCAAATTCTAGACCAGGTTAGGCAACACAAAAACTAAGGGAGCGTCTACATGTGAAGACATTCATGTCATTTTTATGTGTAAAAGGAAAAATATAAAAGCTATTTAAATAGGTAAAATGTTTTTATTCTATGCCATCATTAAAAATAATTAAGCAACTTGAGGCTGTATATATTACATTTAAAAAAACAACAATGGCTTTGTTGGTGAAACTTCATCACTTATGATTTGCAAAGTTTTCATTAAGTATAGACAAATCAGAATATTAAAATAGCCTGTCATTACAAAGTAGCAAGAATGATTTTGTGGGAGGATAAGATGATAAATACCATGTACTTTCCGTATCTTATATTTATATGTTTAAGAAAAACACCAATTTCTAAAAGAACCTACTCCTTTTAATTAAAATGCACAAATTTAGCTCCACTGAAGTAGCATAGACTACTACTGGCTGAAGCTCTGGGGTTTCATTATACAGTGATGACTTAATTAAATCCTCTATGAACAAAACCTTTTTACCCAAGACTGGCCTTGGTGTAGCAGGCATGGGGGAAGGATCGGCTTTCTCTATGCTAGATTGGTGGCAGCAGGAACTAATGAGGCAGGGCCTTGAAAGTGGCTTGCTCTCAGATCTAACTCCTCAGGGGATGGCTAGAGCTGAAGCTGTGGGCACTGCTTCACTCCTGGGACCTACACAGCCTGGTTACCCAGGTGTTGAAAAAACAATTTCTGTGCCAAGACCATATGTGGCTTTTAAGAGACTCGGCAGGACTCTTGCTTTAGGCAGAGCAGAGTGTTCCTTGTGTGGAATGAGTGTGCTGGAAAATAGCAAAAAGGGAATCCCATGTACAAATCTTCCATTTGTCCTGTGTGCTCAGTATACTGCATTTTCAATTCTGTGGATCTTATTTTACTCAATTGTAAGAAAATCTCTTATGTACCTTCCGGTTCTGTATCTTTTCTGTAAAGGTCCAAATAGGAAATATTTTCTGCCTTACAGGGCACACGATCTGTGTCAGAATTGCTCAACTGTGCATCTGTAGTGTGAAAACAGCCATCCTTAACAAAATGTCAACAAATGGGAAGGACAATGTTCCAGTAAAACTTTATTTACAAAAATAGGTAGCTAGCCAGATTTAACTCACAGGCTATAGTTTTAACAACCCTTGGAGTAGATATTAATGTAATGTAATTCTTTGAAGAAAAGGGCATAAATCTTATGGTGTCTCTTTAGAGGGACCATCGGCTTGGACTTTTTTTTTTTTAAGTTAAATATACAATGTAATTTTGCTGTCAGGATTTAACACCATGGGAAATAGGATAAAACACCCTGTCACCAGGGTATGGTAAATTCCCTAACAATGAAGAAACTCTGTGCCTTTCCAACTTAGGAAGAGTGTTATCTTCAACATTTGTGATGGGTTTCTTTAATCCTTCAGAATTTCTCAGCCTAGGGCTGGAGCTGCAGCTCAGTGGTAGCATGTGCAAGGCCCTGGATTCAATTCCTACTGCCACAACATTGCAAAAAATTCTGAGCCCTCAGGCAAGAGGCTCAAGACCTATTAATTTTCTTTCTGATAAAAGTGGGCTAAATTGTGTCTTTCATAGTACAGTGTGGGCTTCAGACATCTTTCTCTTTTTATTTCATTGTCGTTGCTCCAGAAAGGTGTAACTGCCACGTTTGATACAAGGTCTCAGATCTCCATGCATCAGTAATTTAAAGTGGAAATCAATCTGTCTTCACTTTTTTTTTAATATTTATTTTTTAGTTTTCGGTGGACACAACATCTTCATTTTACTTACATGTGGTGCTGAGGATCGAACCCAGCGTCCCGCACATGCTAGGCAAGCGCCCTACCGTTTGAGCCACATCCCCCGCCCCTGTCTTCACTTTTGAGACCTTCGTTAGTTCTCTCACATCAGGCCTCCACTAGTCTAGTTTGTTCAGTGCATTTAGATCAAACTTTAATTCTGTTTCCAACAATGGAAAAGCAATTACAGACTGGAGTGTTTAATTCAGACATATATATAGGGGTCAGCACAGTTGTACTTTATCTACCTAGAAAAGTAAAAAACATTGTTGTTAGCCAGCTTGCTTTCATCTATGCACTGTTGGGTGAAACTTATTTTCTAAGTTGTAGCACATGAATTTCCTATTGGCCTCTCCCACTAGCCATAGCTGTGAGCACAGCAGAGCCAACACATTCTAGTAATTACAGCTAGAGTGAGCAGGGTCACCATCCCTCACTCTAATGCAGCAGTTCTCAAAGTGTGAACCCGATTGGAGTCTTTGATAGTCTTTCAAGGAGTCCCTTTTATGAAGTCAAAAGTATTTCATAGAAATTCAGAGTTATTATTTGCCTTTTTGACTCTCAGTTGCAGTAGTCTTCCAGAGGCCACATAA